AGGGGGTGGGGTAACGTAACACGGCCACTAATATTTGAGATACGTCTATTTTGTTCGATTTATGGCAGGCCTCTCTCCCAGAAAATTTTTTTTTCAAAACCCATTCGCAGGCTAGAACCCATAGAGAGGCCTGCGGAGGAGGCTAACTACGTACGTGATTAGTTAATCGTCCGACAAACTACGTTTTGTGCAACGCAATTAAGTTGGCCATTGCCAAATTTGCGTAGGCAGATTTTATTGCATTTATAGAATGTGTTGAAAATGCTGTATTATTACTAGCTGTAACTGTTTGCTTACAAGGGTTAAGAGTACATAAAAGCAACATACTGCATGCATGGGGTTAAATATTTATTCAAACATCTGTACTTATCGAGTCTTACTTTGTTTACAAATTTTCAATAAAGTGAATCGACAACTTTCATTGTATTTTTAGGTGTTACATGTAAATGTGTCAATCATCATCGTTAATTATTGCAAAATGCAAAGTGGGCGGAAGGCGATTTTGACAACATTTTCATCAGACCTCAATCTCGTTCCCAGAGTATGCCTGTTCGCGGGTTAGGTCGTGGCATGACCAGCGAACAGGCATACTCTGGGAACGAGATTGATCAGACCTATGTTTCGCCCTTCGTCAACCCGCGAATTTTAGGGCAGGCGAAACGTAGGTCTGTTTTCAGGATAGCGTATTAGCAATCTCGTACCCAGAGTATGCCCGTTCACAAGTTAGGTCATGCCCAGCACCTAACCTGTGAACGGGCATACTCTGGGCTGTTTTTACATGATGGAAGGTGGGATGATTTTGATGTATTGAAATAAGTCACTAGGCTAAACGAAAGTTCAAATGCTGGTTAACCGAACTCAAATGTTGTAATAATAATAATAACTAGAAAATACATGCATGCAGAAACCCTCGCCTTGCTGACAAAACCATTGTATTTTCCGAACATGAAGTATCTAAAGTTGTTTTCATGGTAACACGATAATTTTTTAAGAATATTCTTACAAGTGAAAAATCGCCTAAAAATATCACTTTTAATTACAAAATTATCAATTTCCCAACATATATATGTTAGGTATGTTATTATACGTAATATAAGCTTCAATTTAAGGTAAAATTCAAACACAAACGCTTCGCAAAACGTTTTAAATTAAAGTGTTCTTTATAAAACTAAATTCGGCTTTTAATAATTAAATGGCTTTATCGATAAACTTTGAGTTTGCAATAAAATGATTTCAAATTCTCGCATGCAAATAACTTTGCTTTCTTTTTTATTTAAAAAATTCAATATAACAAAAAAGGGAATCAATAATAATACACTGAAATTATATGCGGTCTTGTTTAGTTGTTTCATATACGCAAAGCCAAAGGGCCAAAGGGCAAAGGCCGTCGGGTTTTAAAGCAATTATAAAATCAATATTTAAAACAAACTTACCTTCGTTAACGTCGGCTCCCTTCTTTTAGCCGATTCTTTCGCCCTTTCTTCCTGAGAAAGCTTTTGAAATTTACAAAATCTTGCAAAAATGCGAGGAAAATTAAATATATTTGCAAGAAATTTATCAATCATCAAATCAAGAAATGTTTGCTATTTCGCTGTCGTCATGCAGTCGTTATAACGCAAACTTTAGATTGGACCAATCAGTGTCCGCTGTTCATGACAGTCCGCCATATTTTTGAGATCAGTGAGGATGACCACCCACCGAACCACTCACGGTAACCCACGCCCGCACTCATTGATGAACTTTAGACTTGGCTAATGCTTCCGTTTCCCTGGGTGTAAATAGCCGGGGGGGGGATTAGTACCCTCGCACGGCGCTTCGCGCCGTCGGCTCGGGGATATTAGGGACCTTAAGCATGCATGTACGACGGGAACGCGACGACGACAGACAAAACAAACTTCTTCAAATAAATTATTACGAAGAAGAGTTGTTGTGTATTATCCACTGCATGCGTATATGAATTGAGTTCAGTTGGAAGAGATTAAATTGCGTTGTACATGAGACGTGAAAATCTCTGGTTTGCCGTTGTAAAAAGCCCTAGCACAACGTCTCTAACTCCCGTGGGGCTTTTAATTATTCATTCCTTTTGTACGAGATCAGGAATATCATTGTGTGAATAGCCGTCGCCGTCGCGTTGCCGTCCTGTTTGCTTAAGGTCCCTAATAATAATAATCTGTTTAATGAATCACATTGCAGTAGAGACTGAATTACATGATTATAAGTAAATACATTAAAAATTAAATTTAGAAATAAAATTGAGTTCAAACCGTTCAATGTTCGTTCTGAATAGTCAGTTTAAATCTGTCCACAAATTATAATTGGGTACCTGAATATACACGAGTACTACTAAATCTATAATACATTAATAATTGTATTTAGTATAATTACATAGGTGATTATTGAAAATTCTCCACGCTGATTGGTTGCCGTTGAGGTGATTATTACGCGATAATCACCTAAGCGATTTTCAAAATGGCGGCCGAAGCCTTTTTGTCAATTAAATGACGAAGAAATTGCGTATTTTCTTATCTTTTTGCAAATAATCACCTATGAAATTATACTAAAACATTTATTCACCTCAGGCTCGGTGATTATCGTGAATAAAAACCTCGACTTCGTCTCGGTTTTTATTCACCGATAATCACCTCGCCTTCGGCGAATAATTGTTAATTGACAGTTATAAAATTTTGAAACCGTTCTGTGTTCGTTTGGAGTGACCAGCTTGATTCGGACCTAAGATTATAATTATGAGTAGTTGGATGTATACGAGTTGCAAAAACATCCTTAAGAGGATTTACATTGTCAAGCTTCAATTTCCGGATAAATTGTTCGCAGGAATTATGTCTACGTGTACTTAACTTTTTTAGACCGGTATAATTCAATGCGTCTTGATACGACATTTCGGAAAGCAAGATACGTAATGCTCTTCTCTGTATCGATTCGATAAGGTCAGACTGGCCTTGGATCAGCGTTGACCACGCTGGTGAAGCGTACTCAATTCGGAACCGAATGAAGGAGGAATATATAGTGACAAAGTCTTTATCGCTTAACCCAGCCTTTTTTAACTTCCGCAATGCATAGAGTCTGGAATTTGCTTTTTTAATCACATAGTCAACATGATCACACCAAGATAGATCCTCTCTCAGCAGCACACCGGGCAGTTTAAAGGAGGATACTGATTGGAGTGATTGCACTGGCGAACCATCTAATATAGATCGCATTATCAAGCGGAAGGTGGTATTGGAGGAAGGATATTATCATCTCCTTACATTTCTTACTGTTAAGCTTCATTCCTCTACTTGAGGCATACTGAGATACATCATTTACGAGGATAGGTAGCAAGCTAGGAGAACAACGTGGAACAATTTCTAGTGCAGTAGCATCGTCTACAAACTTTATCCGTCCATTCCAGTCCTGTAGGAGGGAATTGACTAAAAAGTGAATTTATTGTCTCGTCTTGAGTTTTAATAATATTTTTAAGGGATTTCTGTGTAGATTGCAATGACTTAATGTTAGATTGCAAAGAATCATATTGATCATCTGTACCAAAACAAGACTGCGACTTAAAGATGGCCAAATCTAGTTTAATACCCTCTATTTCTGCAATAATTTCACCTTGACTACATGTACACGCACATGCAGACTGAGTCGATGATCCATTTATTAAACTCGAAGTATATTCAGACTGGCGCTCTTCATTAACTACTAAAGTTACGTTCAGGTCTTGCTCCCGCCGATCAGGACCATCACAATCAACTCTCAGAAATTCTTCACAACATGAATTATATCACCATGAACCACTCCCACTTCGTGCAAGTAAGCCACTTCCTTCAAAATGTCCTTAACTAATCCCTGTATTCCCTCGACTTCTTTTTCTTCATCTATGATATCTTGAAGGGAACTGCCAGCAACAAACTCAGTAACAAGCAGAACATCTTTTTTCTTAATTTTTTTTTTTCTGTGTTGGTGTAGTGTACTCAGGTGAATATGATATTTGTGATGTTACTCTGAGTGTATATCCACACCGGGCGAGCTTGAAAAATATGCCCGGCCACGGTGGGATTCGAACCCACGACCTTTGGAATACTAGCCCAATGCTCTTCCAACTGAGCTACGCGGTCAGGACGGTTCGAGTAAGTGATATTTCGGAACAGAATCTGTTCCTTCAATACCAATGGTTTCTAATAATATGAATTTTTTTTGTGTTGGTGTAGTGTACTCAGGTGAATATGATATTTGTGGTGTTACTCTGAGTGTATATCCACACCGGGCGAGCTTGAAAAATATGCCCGGCCACGGTGGGATTCGAACCTACGACCTTTGGAATACTAGCCCAAATGCTCTGCCAACTGAGCTACGCGGTCAACAGTAGCATAGCTCAGTTGGAAGAGCATAGCTCAGTTGCGTAGCTCAGTTGGAAGAGCATTGGGCTAGTATTCCAAAGGTCGTAGGTTCGAATCCCACCGTGGCCGGGCATATTTTTCAAGCTCGCCCGGTGTGGATATACACTCAGAGTAACACCACAAATATCATTATCTTTTTTCTTTATGGATACGCCCATGAATGTCACTATGTTTGGGTGACGAAGCCTGCTATGTATCATTACTTCTCTCTGAATAGACTCGCTTACGCTTGCACCTCGTCGTATCTGTTTGACAGCAACATCTGTGCACAACCAATTGCCACGGAAGACTTTACCAAAAGATCCCATACCAACAGGGTCTTTCCAGTTGACATCAAGTTTTTCAAGTGGGATTTCACCAAGGTTTGATGGTTGCTGTTCTTGGACTGTGCTGGCAACAGTTGTTCTAAAATTATTTACACAAAAACAATATAATTATAAATTCTATTCTTACTTTTTCCAGTTTTTTAGTCTTCACAAACCACAAATCATCCTACAATAATTCCCTGTCTCCAAAAATTAAAGGAACTTATTTTTATGGCGTACAATTTCCGCCAAAATTCAAGATCTCATTTTCAACACGCAAGTTCGCATTTTCAACACACAAGTTTGTATTTTGAACACAGAAGTTTGTAAAGTGTTAATTTCAACATTAAAGTAATTTTGGCGGAAACGGGACGTACAATATCCGCCAAAATTCAAGTTTGCATTTTCAACACACAAGTTCGCATTTTCAACACGCAAGTTTGCATTTTCAACACACAAGTTGGTACACAGACGCCCAGGCTCTGTGTTGGTATTTATTTATTTTTTAATTTTATTATAATTTTGCATTAAAAATTTACTTTAAATTATGAAGTATAACTGACTTAGTTTCCTTTATGTATTCTATGTGATTTAGGGGTGGTTTTAGTTTGATATAATGACATAAAAACATCACGAGAATGCGATATAATATACACTTTATATATTGTAAAATATTGTAAAAATAAATAATGCCTAAATACGCACTGATTTAAAATATTGGTGGACTTACTTGTTTACTGTATCATTTGCTTCCCTTTCGTCGATTTTCAGGCCATTTCGTTGAACCCGGCCTATATTGTATGTCATCTAATATTCATACCCACTATCATTAACGCAAATGTAGCCGGTAGCTGTAACGCCGGGCGAACTTGCATGGGCAAGACATTATTTCAGTTCAACAAAACTCGCCGATAAAATATTGACAAACGCTTCTAGAGCCGCGGCTATACATGTTTAGCCTATGTTTATTCAATCTTCCCAACTTGTGAAATCCTTCCCCTCGCTTTTCCTTGAAGAATTAAGACAACTTAATGTAAACTAAAGTACTTTCTCCGAACTCGTGAGTCGATCTGCCCTGAAAACAAATCGTTAAAATTTGAATTTTTAGTCGAACTTCGTAACCGCACCTCTCGTTAAAATACATATTTCTCCTCAACCCTCTTGATTCATTAACGTGCAATTAATAAATCAGGAGGGTTGAGGAGAAATATTTTAGGTGAGAGAAAGGTGCGGTTACGAAGTTCGAAAAATTCAAATTTTAACGATTTGGTTCCAGGGCAGATCCACTCACTAGTTCGGAGAAAGTACTTTAGTTTACATTAATTTGTTTTAATACTTCAAGGAAAAGTGAGGGAAAGGATTTCACAAGTTGGGAAGATTGAATAAACATAAATAATTATGTTTATTATATACACAAGGTCTGGATATGAGGTATTCTGCAATCTGATTGGTTCTCTACTAGCAGGATATTAGCTCATATCCTGCTAGTAGCAAAAAACAAAATGGCGGCTGAAACTGAATTTCCGACGTTTGCGAATGAGAAAACGGCAAGTTGTTCGCTTTTTATAGCCTTTACAGGATTAAAAACACAATGAAAAAACTCCCACAAATTGTTTACAGGTTAGCAAATGAATTTTTAAAATTTAAAATGATTAAAAATATATATTTTTGAAAAAATAATCGGCCGAAAGAGCGAAGATAAAAAAACATTTAAAAAATAGAAAAATATTGAAAATATCCGAAAAGCAAAGTCTGTGAATTCAGACCTTGTGTATATAATAAAACAGTTATTCCACTCACTCTCGTCGAATATGAGCGATAGCCGATTCGGCGCTACGCGCCTCAATAACTGTTAAATATAGCCGCGGCTTTAGAAGCGTTTGGCAATATTTTATCGGCGAGTGTTGTTGAAAATAATGTCTTGCCCAAGTTCGCCCGGCGTTCCAGCTATACTTACCTTTGCGTTAATGATAGTGGGTATAAATATATAGTAGATGACAAACAATATAGGCCGGGTTCAACGAAATGGCCTGAAAATCGACGAAAGGGAAGTAAATGACACAGTAAACAAGTAAGTCCACAAATATTTTGAATCAGTGCGTATTTAGGCATTATTTTTTTTACAGTATTTTACAATATATAAAGTGTATATTATATCACATTCTCATGATGTTTTTATGTCATTATATCAAACTAAAACCACCCCTAAATCACACTGTCACATAATACATAAAGGAGACTAAGTCAGTTATACTTATAATTCAGTTAAAGTAAATTTTTAATGCAAAATTACAATAAAATTAAAAAATGAATAAATACCAACACAGTCAGAGCCTGGGCGACTGTGTGCAAACTTGTGTGTTCAAAATACCAACTTGTGTGTTGAAAATGCAAACTTGTGTGTTGAAAATGCGAACTTGTATGTTGAAAATGCGAACTTGTGTGTTGAAAATGCAAACTTGAATTTTGGCGGAAATTGTACGCCATACATTTCCACACATGGGCACAACACGCCATTTTCACGTCGTCTTTGACGTCCGCATTCTCGCTCTAAATCTGTCTACGGTACAGACTGCAGAGTACATACATGTGTCAGGCACTCTTACACATCCAATTATCAATAACAGTGTCAGTTAAATTTTATTTAGTTGTAATATATGATTTATACGTCCATAAAGATAAAAATCATAATTGCTTGTCAGATCATGCATTGGCAATAGTAATAAACGATTAAGGCAAGCCTAAGATTTTTCATTGAGTATTGGGGGGG